CTAGTGGTACTAAAGCAAGTTCTTCCTGCTTTTCACTATCACTGGCTCCAATAAGCATTGGAGTTCTTCACTCAAGGGGCTACTAGAGAGGGCATTACACTGCTATAGGTAAGCACCCCACTTGGCCAGTGTGGGCATTTGTGCCACACCACTCCTTGGCTTTTGGGTCCAGTCTCATACCCACCCCAAGATGGGATAAGTGGTTATTACCTTTATTGGGGTCATTCCAGTGATGGGTTCTATAGCCAGCAAGGTGTGATACATGGCAGCCAGTTGTTTTTCTATCAAAGTGTATTGTACCTCTGCCCCTTTCCAGAGTTGTGACCAGAATCCAATAGGTTGGCGAGTTCGTTCAAGCCACTGCCAGAGACCTCAGCCATAACCATCTTCAGTCACATGAACATCCAGCTCACAGGGCCTTGATGGGTCTATTACACTCAAGGTCTGCATGGCCTTGACTGCCCTTTTTGCTGTAGTAAAGGCAGATGCACATATCTCATCCCAGTCCCACCTGATGCCCTTTTGTACCAACCAGTATAAGGGCTTCAGAATTTGTGCCAAGTGTAAGATAAACACTCTCCAGTAGCCTTGAAGACCCCAAAACTCCTGTAGCAATACTACAGTTGTAGGGGTAGGAAAGGCCTGGACTTTATAACTGCTTCCGGTATAACTTTGGTTTTACCCGACCAGACTACCCCCAAGAATTTGACAGACAAACCAGGTCCTTGAACTTTGTACTGTTCATAGCCCATCCTTTCTCCTATAGATGTTGCAGCAGTCTAGGTGCTGCACCTTCTAGATCTGAAAGAGAATCGGACGTGAGCATGACATCATCAATATAATGGTACAGCCACACCATTGGCGGTTTCTCCCATGTAGCCAAGCCCTTGGCTACAAGTCCATGATAGATGGTGGGGCTGTTGAAGTATCCCCATGATAGATGGATGGGCTAGTGAAAGTCCACTGCCATCCTTCCCAAGTGAAGGCAAACTGTTCCTGACTTTCCTGCTCAATGTCAGTGTAAAAGAAGGCATTAGCAAGATCTACCACATAGTGGTATGTTCCTAGTTCATGGCTGAGGGTATCCATCAGGCCTGCAATAGAGGGGACAGCAGCATGCATAGGGGGTATGACTTTATTCAGTTCTCTGTAATCCACAGTCATATACCAGGAGCCATTTGGCTTTTTTACAGGCCACACTGGGGAATTGAAAGGACTATGGTGGGCTTTATAATACCCACCTTTTCAGCTCCTGGAGAGTTTCTCCAATCTCTTTATGCCCTCCAGGCAGTTTGTATTGTTTGGTATTAGTCACCCAGTGAGGCACAGGCAAAGCTATGGGTGTCTAGCATGTCCCCTCAGAACTGCCTTCACCACACATACTCTCAGTCTGAACGCTCCTGCAGTGGTCTGCAACCATAGACCCTTCAGAATATCAATCCCCAAAATACACTCAAGGATAGGAGATATATACACAGTATACTCTTTTGGGGGTAGACACCCTATTCCCATGGGGATTTGGGCTTGTTTCACTCTGATAACCTTACCCGTGTGTCCATCTATGACAGTGGGATCCCAGGGAACTGCTCAGCATTACCATGAATCAGTGAACATTCAGCCCGTGTGTCCACCAGAGCCAGGACATGTTGTATGTTCACTGGGGACCAATGGATAGCTATTTCAACATGTGGCCTCTGGTACCCTCCTGGTCCCTCAGGGCAGATACCTCGACCTTCCCCTCAGTCAAACTGTGTTCTCCTATCACCTTCCTATGTGTGCTCAAGTAAGGTTGGCTCACTCTCCAGCAGGAAGTCTTGCAGACACACAAGCTGGACTCGTGTCTCTGTCTCGGACCTCTGCCTCTTTGTTCTTAATGGCTGGAACTGCTACTCTGGTTTCAGTTGTTTCTATAGCTCTAGTAAGATCCTATTTGACTTCCCATCTAATTTCCTTCCATCTGCTCCTGCCTATATTAAATCAACCCACATCTGGGTCCTCATAACCTTCTGGATCCTCGTAACCTTCATGGGGCCCTTTAAAGTCTTCTTGTGAGTAGCAGACCTTATTTCTTTGTGTTCTCATTGCTTCAGCCTCTCCTAAGTCTGCTACTATATGTGTCACCTCGCTTATGGGATGCCCTAAATGAAGGGAAAGAATGGCCACTAGAGACCCCAAGAGGGATGTGGGAGCCGTTTGAAGCGCAATATTTCTCATCTCAGTAGTGAAAATCTCTTCATCTGGGCCATAATTTTCTGGACTATAAAGACATTTCTTATGCTTAGCTCTCATAACACCTGTTGGAGCTCAGATACATCTGCCATCTAGCAGGAGAGGACAGTAGATCACCCAGATTGGGCCACACAGCATGAAGTGCAGTCATTAGCCAATAGAGGATGGAGTGACTCCCTGGGGTCTGATGTACATTTTGTAATCACTGATGTGCAATGTCAGGGAAGCCAGCTTTCCCATCTCTGATCCCAACAGAACAATTCCATCCACCCCTAAGTCCCACAGGCGCAGGAGCCAAGCTGATATTGACTCCAAGGGTTTCTGTCTAAACTGGGAACCCAAATCCACCAGCTCAGCCTGAGTATGGGGGTGGACCATAGAGTGCTCCATGACCTGGGGAGGGGGCTGCTCCTCTCCTTGGGGAACTTTCAGCTGCTTGGTCTTTATTTTCTTTACAACCACTGGGTGTGCTTTCAATACAGGTGTCAGTGCCTCCAGCACCACCCCTTTATCCTTCCCAAGCTCCTCCATTTCCGGGGCTGATGGCACCTCTCTCCCCTCCCATGAGTGCCTCCTCTGCTACAACCTTTACCTTTTCTACTGTGCCTTGCAGCAATGCTAGCTCAGTCTTCCACAGCTCTCTTACCTTCACCTCAATGCTTCGCAGCTGGCATTCTTGTGCCACCTCTGTCTGTGCTTCCCTCAGGAGTTTGTCTTTTTCCTTGATGGCCTTTTTCTCCTTCAAAGTACCTGGCAGTGCTGCCATCTCATTCTGTAAGGAATCTTTTACCTCTTCAGTGGCACCTTGCTGCCAGTGTTCTCATGCTGCGTCCTCTCATATCAATGCCATTTCCTTCTTCAGGGAATCCACAGAAGTTTGCAGCTCACATTCTTGTGCCGCTATTTCTTGGGTCTTTTTCAGGAGCATGTCCTTCTCTTCTGTAGACTCTTTAATACTGTGAGAAGCAGCCAACCCACAGTCCCTGCTGCCTCACAGGTACTCTCTCTCAAAAAACCTACTTACTATACCAAGGGCTACCCCTACTGCCTCAGGTATCACCTACACTTGTCTCCAGTTCTGGCATAGGGCCCAGTCCTCTAGGAGGCAAGCCACCTCAGACCACATACCCATTGAGGGACGATCCACTATCTCCCCATTCACAGGGGCAGCCCACTGAAGCACCCCTCCCTTAAGGGCAGCCTGCCTTTTTCCTTGGTCAACAATGAATCCTGCCAACTATGCCAATTGTCTTGCCAGTGGGTTTCATCCCCAGGCAGATTCACTATGGATTCAATGCAACCAAAGAAATTGACAGCAAAACATTCTTTGGGGTGAAAGGGTTTATTACCCAGCATGTTCTCCCAGAGATAGGTCGAACACTAGCATCTCTGCCTCTGCCCAGAGCACAGGGCCAGCTCTCTATATAGTGCAATAATAGCTTATTACCTAAAGATGTGGAAGCGGTAGCCTACCAACAGGCCACTTACATCATCAGGTGGTATAAGTTCAGTGAGGATCCTGGCCATAGGAACCCCAACTTCCCCACAGGTATGTAGGAGTTCTCTTTCCTGAAGGGAAAGGCCTTGAATGGCAGCTAAATGCTCAGGCATTTCCTGGAAATGAGATCATAACTAACAGCAAGTAATGGAAGCAGTAGTGTTGACAATGGATACCAATAAGAGGAGGTAAGTCAAAATGGAGAAAAGGGCTTTGCTTCCCATCTCCCATAAGTTCAACTGAAAGATCTAGTCTGGGCCAATTTTGTGGAGATGGCAACTAGAGCCACCTCTGTGGCTAATCCCAACACCAAATGGAAAGCCATTATTTCCAGTTTTTCAGCTAATAGCTTTTGAGAACTGTAAGGTGTCACAAATATAAAGTGGCAGAATTGGATTTTTCTCTCAACTCCGTTTTTTATTATGGTAAAGTTAAAACATACACAGAAGTTGAAAGAACAGTAGCCCTTCCTGTACCTAGATACAATGCATCAGTCATACCCCAAACTACTTTTCTTCCCATGCTTTAAAGCTAATCCCAGGCATATTTCACCCCCAAGTACCTCACTTCATATCTCTAAAGCATAAACAATTCCATTAACACATCTAAAATTAATCACTAAATATGTATCAAGTTCTATTTTTTCTCTTTACATTTGGCTTTTCAAATCAAGATCCAAACAAGGTTCACACATCACTCTTGGCTGGCATATCCCTCACACCTGTTTCACTTTAAGTGCCCTCCCTCCCCCCTACTATTTTGGCGTTTTTTGTTGTTGCCATTTATCTGAACTAGCCATTGGTTTCTGGAATTGTACCATGCTCTGGATTTTGCTGATAGTATCCCCAAGAACTACACTTTGAACCTGAGTCCCTTATGCCTTCAAAGCCCCCAAAACTCTCCTCACGAGGTCATCCTATCTTTGTAACAATACTGTGAGGACTTACCACCTGCCAACCTCTTTATTATGTGTTATTATTACTCATAATACAAGGTATTTATATTTTTTCACAAATGTAAGCTACTTTCAGAGAGGCGTCTGCAGTGACAAAGCTACATGAGGGAGCCAATGTTACAAATCCAGTCAGCCCGACTCCACAGCCTGTGCTTTCCCCGTACCAGTGGGTCCCAATCATTGTATTATGGGATTGTCAACCTCAGTGTACACTAGTTAAGTGGATGGCAAGCTAATATTAACAGATAGCTATTCCCAATATAAGAATCATCCATGACTCCACAAAAAATACAGGAGAAAAATAAGACCAACCAACTGTGGGAGAAGGAGCCAACACAACAACTACTCTTTATTGGAAAGAAGAAACTTTATAGTACATTTTGAGTTAAGTTAGTGCAAAGGCTCAGTGGGCTAACTGGTGGGGCACCAGCTTGTAATGAGTTCCACAGCTGGGGCATCGCTGGGTCTCGCCTTTGTGCAGCCAGAACCAGATGACAGCACTGTTGTCCTCTTCACCTGAAAGGCAAAAGGTGGTTGAGGGCCATCCAACCTAGGGAAGGCTTTCAATATTAATCTCATCCTCATACACCTCTGAGATAGGCAGTTATAACCGGCACCTTAAGAGATCAGTTCGAGCTCGCCTCCCCACTCTTGAGATGAAGCAACTGATGGCCCTGAGTTTAGTATTAGGTCGAGCTCGCCTCCCCACTCTTGAGATGAAGCAACTGATGGCCCTGAGTTTAGTATTAGGTTCTAACAGGTCCCCTGCCCATGGAGAATCCCAAAGCAAGGTCCATTCTGGTACATAGTTCTAGTGCGTAAAACAGTATCTGGCAAGGAGGAAGCAAAATAATTATTTTCTGGCTGAACACTTTATGCTGCAGGAAGCAGTACTACTAATGTTCTATGCCTCTTTACAGTAAGGGCAGTCCATTCAAGTTGAGGCCTGAGAGGGCCAGGAACCTTAGAATAACTCATTTACACACACACATCCTCTTTACACACAAAAAATCTGAAGTAGCTTATAGGATATTAGGATATATTAAACAAATGGATAAGAAAATAGTGATGGGGTACTTACAGATGCAGCCCACTATTCGCTTGTTGGAAATGGAGGGAACTAAATTAGGGTCTTCCTTGGTGCCTGAAGCCGCCTTTGGGGCTAGAATATTGTATGGGTCCTGAAAAAACAAGAGTTGAGTCATTCTGCCTCATTTCCCCTACCCTCCAGAGGCTAGCAGCACTGTTGCCACAAGCCAGACTTCCTGGATCAAATGATCCCAGAAAGGAGATCGGTCTGATCCTATCCAGGGAACACACAAAAGGGAGTTTCTCCTCACCAATCCCTTCCGTGCAGCCATCATGACCTCCCTCTCCAGCCCAGTCGCTTGTTCCTCATCAGTAGGAACACCACCTAAAGGGAGATACGTGAATTATGTCGTCTGAAATTATCAAGATGGGAAACGCACATATACACATTCTTGCACACAGCTCACAAGCTCCTAAAGGTCACCCATACACATTGCCCCTAAGAAGCAAAGTCATAATCCCCAAAAGTGGCAGCAGAAGGGAAATCTTTTCTTCCTTTAGCCATTAAGGCCACTTTTCTAAAAGCAGGTCAGAGTTCTAGTGGGGTTCATCCAACTGAGGTCGGTGCAGATTTAAAGGGCGGCTTAGCCTCTCCACATCCCGGCTGCAGCCCCTGTACCCCAAGGTCACTCGGCAGCTCCGTTTAGGATGATTTGGCAGCAGGGTCAGTTCGGTGGGAGGCAGCAGTTCGGGGTCGGGAATAACAGGGAGACGCCCGCAGAGCCTGAGCACTCGGGACAGTGGAGCGGTCACTGTGGCGCGGAAGAAGGAGCTGGACGGCCCCGCCCCGCTTTGCTGCCCTAGCACCACCGCGGGAGGACAACGGCGGGGTCCCTGGCGCGCTCGGTGGACTGAGTACCTCCAGATGCCATGGAGCGCACCGCGAAGACTCCATTGGGACCGCGGGCCCGCAAAGCCTGCCCGGCTAGCGATCCAACTCCGCGAAGTAACCTTGAAGCCATCACACCGGCAGAAAACAACAGCACTTCCGGGAACAGGCTCGGAGGCAGGCGGGACTTCCGGGGGAATGGCTCTTGTCTCTTCTTGTCAGCCTTCCGCTTCCTCCAGACCCGCGGACCCGCCCCACTCACGTGACTCCGCCGGCCGGGAAAGACTGCGCATGCCCAGCTCTGCCTCACTTTGTCCGCGCAGCCGAGGAGCCGGGACCGTCACAGCATCCGCTGAATGCTTTTGCGGCTTTGCTCTTCACTCTGACGTTTGGGGCGACTCGCTTTGCGTCCGTTGGGCTAAGTGTCCTTGTCTGTAGAATGGAGTAACCACGCTGGCTTTCCTGTGCGTCTTCCCTGATTGTTGTGCTCAGTAGACGTGGAGGCTGCCGATGGATGGAAGTCGTTAAGCCCGCATCTTTCGAAAGACCTGCTGGAGCCCAGATTATTTAAATTTAGGAGTGGGCTCCTAAACGCAACGCGTTATTTGTTACGCTGGTCGTCCTGGCAGTTTGTGAGCCATCGCGAACTTGCGCAGGACCAGTCTACTCCGAGCACCAGTTTCCTGTGACAGTGGTGTTGAGGTGGTGGTCATAACAGGTGATGAGGTCCAGGCTTGAGGTGGGAGGGGACGGGGGAGATCTGGGACCAAGGCCCTTGGTGATGTGGGATGAGGGGGTGGCTCCACGGGGAGGTTATTAACCAGGGAAGAAGGTAAAGGAGAATGTTGTGTACTGATATAAATTTCAGATACATGTCTTGAAATCCTGTCTCCTTGGGGAACAGTTTGGCTTGGGGAACAGTCCCACTCCTGCTCCATCATCGCCTTTGCCAAAACTGTAAAGTTGTTTGCGGTTTGATCTTGTAATAACGTGTTTTGAAGTTGAATGTTAGGACTTTCTTATGGAACTCTTGCACTGAACTGGAAAGGACCATTATGCACACTGACACCATAGTAAGGGCCGTGGTGTCCATAAGGTAATAGGCGTTTAAACTTTAAAAACCAAGAGGTGTGACCAACTCGAGAGTGTCAAGTCTGGGCAAGGCAATTCTGCTGATCTAAATAGCTCTCCAGTCTTGAGACACTCCCTTTGGTCAGCTGTTGTGTTAAACCATTCAGCAGTATCAGGAAGAGATGGGACATCTGTTCCGTCTTGGTGAGGCTGCTCCTCATAGGCAGTGGTGCAAGCTGTCCCTCAAGTGGTACACCTTTGGAACAACCCACCCTGCCTGCCATCACTGGTGCTGTGGTTATTATCCACGTGCCCCAGGAGTGAGCAACCTAAGCATGTAGCTGATACCCAGCTTTTAGTTGGAAGGACTGACTATACTGACAATCATTTTGTAGAAAGGTGTACCTCAACTGAATTTGGACTTTCTTTTATCTCCCTTTTCCTGGAACCATAGTGTAATTAACCTACCATTGGTTTAGAGTATGTTATTTATTAAGAGATACTATCCTGTATGCTATTGGCTTGTGAAATATTCTTATAAATTATTACTCCCACAGTGAACTTGTGTTGAGTAAATTACTGGCAAAAGACAATCTCATTCTCTGAGCATAATTTACCCAAAATAAAACAGGAGAATCAGGAAGGAGAGTTGATAATGGGAAATGGGGTCACAACATTCTAAGGCCTGGGTTCTCTGTTTAAAACTGAAAACATCTTCTATAGCTCCCCATTGTCCACAAGTTGAGGTGTGCACACTTCTTAAGAAGGGTGGGCATTTGAAAGGCTTTGTAAACACTGCCCTCTGTTAGCTTGTAGGACTGTTCACACTCTCAGTATAGCCCTATCACACTCTAGCTGCATACAGTATCTCTACCAGGTAGAAAATCCTTTTAGAGGAGGAATTATACTCTACTCATATTTAAATCCTCAGTACCCTGCAGAAGGCCAGCATATAATAGGATCAAATACTTTTTAGTCAGTTTACTTTTTAGAACTACAAAACAGCATCAGTTTTGTAGGGCCTCTCCTGGCCCAACGAGGTCAATTTGAAGTAAATTGGACAGTGGTGAAGTCCTAAGTGTTCCCCTTGCAGTCCTGCCCTGTCCTATGCAGGTTATATTTTCAAAAGGAACTGGTGAAGCATTCTTTGCAGGTGCCCCCTCCACCAAGAAAAAAGTCTGTCCTTAAACCCTACAATGTTACCCAAGTATCTTAAAGTCAATTTGTACCTATGGTTATATGTTTAGTGCTAGAAAGGAAAACAAAACATTGGAAGATAGGTGTTCTGGGATGGAACCCCACCCATCCCAGTTAGCTCAGCCAATTACTTTTTCTTTTGACCACCATTTCCTCATCAGTAAAACTATGATTAGACTAGATGAGTGTTTCCCAAAGTGTATTCCATGGAATCCTAGTCTCAGGAGATGCTCTCACTAAAAAGGACTTGGTCAAGACAAGGAAGTCCCACAATTGATGACCACCTTCTTGGAGATGACATGCTAGCATATTAAAAGCTCCGATTAGGCCTGCAGCAGAGAATCCTGTTTCATTTACCCATAGTTTAAGCCGGAGTTTTCTCATCTTAATTAACCACTTTCCCCCAAGAAATACCTAGTAACCCAACTCTCTCAGCAGGGCAATGAGAAATTCAGTTGTGATGAGTTATAATTCCCTGCATCCTGACCATAAGGTGGTTTATTCCAGGCTGTAAAATGGAAATAGGGTACAGGCTTGTTTCTCACCATCACAGTAGGCTTGCCTAATCACAGGACATTTTTTGCAGGTCCTTGTTCAGCACACAAAAACCTTGGGATTATTCAGACAGTAGGGGTGAGCTCCAATGTCAGGTCCAGGCTCCAAGGCACCCCCACTCATCCCCTGCTCCCTCCACCAGCTCCCACCACCCTCCAGTCACACCCATGCCTTCCAAGATCTCCTAGAAAACAGTTTGGCTTGGGGAACAATCTCCCACTCCTGCTCCCTCATTGTCTTTACCAAAACAACAAACTACTGAATAGTATTTTTACTTTTATAGGATAATTTTTAGTTGTCAAAATAAATGCACATTGTAGTAAGTCAAACAACATAGTTATGAGGGCAAATTAATTGTTAGTTTTATGTTAGTCCTTTCTTTTCCTTCCTCTCTGCCAGGTTTTCTCAACCTCAGCACTATTAACATTTGGACTGGATAATTCTTTACAGGGCATGGGGTGGGGATGCTGTGTGCACACTGTAGGATGTTCAGTAGTTGTGTGGTTAGCACTCCCCAGTGGTGACAACCAAAAATGTCTTCAGCTGAAACCATCAAACTCTTAGAAAAAAAACGTTCTCAGTAAGCTCTTTGGTGTCAGTCTTAGCAATATATTCTTTTATATGTCTCCTCAGGCAAAGGCAACAAAAGCAAAATAAATAGGATGGACTACATCAAACTAAAATGCTTCTGTACAGCAAAGGAAACCATCAACAAAACAAAAAGGCAACTGTCTTGCCTGAGGGTTTCAGCCCTGGGCAGATTCACTATGGATTTGGTGATACTGAGAAAGAACAACTGAATGTTCTTGGGGTAAAAGGGTTTATACCCAGCTTTATTCTCACAGTGGGAGGTCATGCACTAGAATCATGTCCGCATCCAGAAACCTGCGGATCTGTAATCTACCTCCATGCCTGCCTCAACCCTGAGCGCTGGGCAGAGCTCCTTATATAACGACTCAGTCAGTAATAGTTTATTGCCAACAAATGTGGAAGCATTAGCCTAGGAGTAGGCCAATTACATCATCAAGTAGTTTAGGGTCAGGTGAGGATCCTGGCCACAGGAACTTCCATTGTCCCCACAGCAACCTACTGAATGGGAGGAGATACTGTAAATGATACATCTGATAAGGGGTTGATATCCAAAATATATGAAGAACTCATTGTGGGGAAGGTGGGGTTCCTATAGGCCAGGATCCTCACTGAACTTAAACCACCTGATGATGTAACTGGCCTATTGCTAGGCTACTGCTTCCACACCTTTAGGCAATAAGCTATTATTGTGCTATATAGAGAACTTGGCCCAGTGCTCTGGGAGGAGGTAGAGACACTGGTGCTCGACCTACCCAGGAGAACAAGCCAGGTAATAAACACTTTCACCCCAAAGAACATTTGCTGTCAATTTCTTTGGTCACATTGAATCCATAGCAAAGTTGCCTGGGGCTGAAATCCATTGGCAAGACAGCCTCTCTGCCCTCACAGCCATCCTCTGAGTCTCTGTCCCCAGTGCTGCCAGCACTCCAGCCTTGGCTTTCCTGCAGCCTTGCCGCCTTGTTGCCCAGACCACTGGGCGGAGCTCTTTAATATAGAGTCAATAGCAATGTATTGCCCACACATGTGTAGTGAGCCAGCCAACCAGAACCAGGTGAGAATCCTGGGCACAGGAACTTTCATTTTATCCACAGTTGGGATATTTCTTAAAAATATACAGATATATAAATGAATATAAAATACAAAAACATGTAACTACTATACAAATTATTGGTAAGTTGCTTCTTTCACTTAAAAAATATTTTGTGGACATCACAAATCAATATATACAGATCTCATTTTATGTAATAGCTGTGTAATATTCCCTATTATGAATGTATGGTAATTTACCCAACAACTTCCCCCTGGATGAATATTCACATGGTTTCTAGCTTTTTGCCTCTCAAACACTGCTGCAATACACATCTGTGCACATTAGCTTTATATTCTGGAGCCTTTTTTTCTGAGGAATAGCGTCAAAGGGTGTATGCATTAAAACATTATAATAAATTCTGCCAGATTGTTTTCCCAAAAGTTTGGAGCAATTCATGCTCCCACTAGCAGGGCATGTGAGTGCCAGTCCCCACCTCCTTTCGCAAAGTTTGCTCACAGATGGATAAAAAAATGAGAAGCTCTTTGTGTTTGCATTTTCTATTCCCTAACCTCTAAGGCAGCTGAGCATCTTTCCAAATGTTAATTGATCATTTGCATTTCCTGGGCTGTGAACTGCCAGGTGCAGCCACTCAGGCAAACTCCTTAACCTCTTGTTGCCTCCGTTTCATCTCCTTTAAGATGGACACAGCACCAACCTGGGGTCTGTTGTGAGGACTAACTGAGTTAATGC